ATATTTTCTTCAATTTTCTCTATACAGTTTCCCACATTTTTTCTTTCGTTATTTTTCCCTTGTCAAACATAATTTAAGAAGCCAATCTTTATATTAATAGCATCTAAAAAATATGTTTCGCAAGTCGATAATCTTAAAGTAGATGAAGATTATTTTCGTCTTTTCAAAGAGTAGGAAGGATAACATAAACAAATATGATAACCTTGAAATTTTTGTAATTGATTACAATTTTCGTTGCAATTTTTGGTGCAATTTTTGTATTTTTAAAATTATTTTTTGAAAAAATATATATGCAATAGGTTTGATACATTTAAAAAAATTCGGAGACCAATAATAGTAAGGTCAATAATGGTAAAATTTATTTCAGATAATTATAAGGAAATTATAAAAGTTATGCAATCTTCTTGTGCCTCTATAATAAAAAAAATTAAAATTTTAGTTAATGTTAGAAACTATAATCTGGATTAGAACTTTCCTTTCTTGTTATTCTACATGGCAATCAGGATAATTAGATGGGAACAATAATATCATTATGGTAATAAAATTTGAAAGTGAATCACGTTGGAAATATTTTTTAGTAAGAGTGTTATTTTGGCAAAAAACTCTGTACATATAGGGATTGGATGAATTTGACCGTTCTTGACTTGCCGTGGGGCGCATTTGTTTCGAGTTACATTTAGCTAATATATGTCAGCAAAACATACCACTAGGCACCTTGAGGTTTGCTTCCATCTTAATTCGTTTTCATTCTTGTACTAAATTTGCATTTTTAAAGCAAATGTAGAACTGGCAATTTGAGGAGCATTTAGTTGACTTCATTCATGAATTTGTGGATAAAAGGGCGGTGAAATGAAATCACATGATACTGTGGTAGCCTTTTATTCTCATCCGTAAAGTTTTAAAATGAAGGGCACACTGAGATGAAATTACAGATTCAACACAACTTAGTATGAGCTGAAAGCGCATTGAAATGAGATTACAGATTGAACACAATTTATTACTACTCTTGAGAAGATTCGGTTGGCTTTAGACTATGTGTTTTTTCAATCTTAAGATGATTTGAGCTAAAATCGCAGTGACATGAAACTACAGATTGAGCATAATTTATTTATTACTCTTGAGAAGATCCGATTGGCTGCAGACTCGGTGTTTTTTCAAACTTGAGATGATTTGATTGGCGTTAGAATCTGTGCTTTTCAATCTTCTTCTGGAGTTCCTCCTTTTTGGCTCCAACAATCTTGTCTATCGCTTTTCCTTTCTTTAGTAGTATGAAAGTCGGCATTGCTTGAACTCCATATTCCTCAGCCACGTCCTGTTTACAGCTTCCAAAATTAGTAGTATCATATTGTACTTTCTGAAACTTGTACTATTCCCAACACCTATGAATTATTCTGGAAAAAAAATGGCAATATATTAATACTATTGATTATGAGAAGTGTGAACATACATCCAGCTCGTCCACATCAATCTTGACAAACTCCACATCGGTGTATTTAGCAGCTAACTCGTTAATGGATGGTTCGATGTATTGACAAGGGCCGCACCAGGAAGCTGTGAAGTCTATGACAATCTTCAATTTGGGGTTTGGAAACAAAAACAACAGGATCAGTAATCAAGAATATGTAGACCCTAAGCAAAACGGGAACAGATGGAAGAGGTTTTCAATGCTTACCAGCTTGTTAGTTTCTTTGGAAGCTTCAAAATGGATCTTCCATTTTGCTGAGGAATGGAATGCAACGACCGGAGACTTCTTGAGTGCCATAGATGAATCAATATTAGCTTCTTGCCATGCAGAGACGTTGGCTCCCATGTCTCTTCTTTCCAAAAGTAGATGACTGAGAAATTACAAGCGTGTGAAATTCTTTTCTTTCCACTTGGGTCTATGAAAGGCCTTCTTTGGATGGATTTGGGACTGTGGTGAGAGGTGCATTTTATATTTGGTCATGGAACATATTCTTCCAGCTGATCGAGAGCCCTTATTAGTACCTAGTATTATGCCCACCGTTCAAATTAGACAAGGAATAAATACATAAACTAACATTGATAAAATTAAGCTTTCATCTCAAGCGCTCTTAATTCTCAAAACTAACATCAAGTGGTGAAAAGTGGATTACCACTTTATGCTCATATTCTTCTTGATGTATGCTCTGTTTCTCTCCGTTAATTAATAATATGTCAGTGGAATTTCGAGGTTCTGTTCTTCCTAAGTAGGAAGTTCCATATATCTAAAAATGGTTGGTACTCTGTTCCTGAGTCTATAACTATGAATGAGACATGATAATGTAAGTGGAAGTAAAAAGGAGGTATTAGCAATCCCATGCAGCTATTAGCCTTAAGGAATGTCAAAGAATTCATTTCACCTTCGAGAGTATTTGATTCTTAGACACGCACACAATCTACACAAAATTAAAGTATGCATGGTCATGGTGAATGTCGAATATAAGAATGAAAAAACTAAACTTGATTATTATTTCTCCACTCCCCCCCCCCACCCCACCCCACCCCACCAAGCTAAGAAAAAAATTGTCTGTGATTTTTAATCCTGGCATATATGCCATTCATTCTCGCATACAAATTAATCAGGTGTATGTAAGTGCCTCAAGGTAATTGAGTTCTTCTTTTTTTTTTTTTTAAAAGGCTGAAATAATTAAGTTAAGTGATGCTCATATGGTAGTTGTACCTAAAATAAAATGATGCTACTTTTTATATCAGAAAGCAACGTCGATCATCCTGATACACAGATTGTGCGCCAGCCGAAATTCCGGCCGCCCGAAAGCGAGATCCTCAGTGATGTCTCGTTTAAGTCGTATCTTGGGTTCCCATCACCCTTTCTTTTGACGCCAGCCACCACCAAAAATTCAACCGCTAAAAGGTAAGGTACCCTTGGACGGCATTCTCCTAAAAACGACGGCTTTGGACTCTCCTAATATGCTCTAAGTCACTATTCACACCTAGCACGAATAACTTCATAAGGACGTTATGGTATAGATTGAGTCTCATTTGAAAATTTTTTTGAAATAATTATTGTATCCTTTTTGTGGTGTGTGAAAGGAAAAAAAATAGTTAAAAATGTTATTGCAGCACAAATATTTTAATCATTTCAAATAATTACATATCCAAACGCTCCCACTATACTAACGACAAAATCACATAGGTCAAAGAATGCAGAAGGGAAATCAGACTTTGGATTGGAAAATTTTTTTTTTTTCTTTTTTGGGTCCTTTCGCCATGGGGAAGTAAAGGTCATTAAAATTTTTTCTTTAGGAAGAAAAAGCATGGGCTAAGGGAGGTATAACATATATGGAAGTCGCAATGTAGTGACCATGAATACATTTTTTTTTTTTTTTTAGGTGTGTCCCGCAGGGAGTGGACCCCGCAGACTATTCACCACCCTCAGCAACTTGCTGGCAGCAAGGTTCGAACCAGGGACCTGAGGCTCCATTTTCAGCAATCTCAACCACCAGACCAAGCCCCTGAGGGCTTAGTGACCATGAATACCTTCTTTTAGTTTATCCAAAAAACAAATTTACGTTATTTCATATTTTACTACACAGAAAAAAGTTTGTAGATATACGCAGATACTATTGTTTGAATTAGTTATTTTTGGAAATATTTTTTGAAAAATTTTACTATAACAATATATACGAAATTTTTTTTTGAAATATTTAATAGATTGTATGAATGAAATATTTCTGAGTTATTGTGTATTATTATAATATTATATTTAAAAATTTTATTTTTAAAAAAATGGTCAATCCAAACGGACCAGGCTCTGTTTGAATCCAACATCTCCAAGATTGTGTATTATTATAACATTTTTCCTTTCGTTTTGTTAGCATGAGGGATGACTGGTGCACGAAAAGGCATCATAACTAGGAAGCGAAACCTTTATCCTTGTGCCCAACTCGTACACAGGGCAGGGCACAAGAGGTCTGAAAGGCATACATACAAGTTCCAAATAACTTTCCAATTTGCCAGCAAATTCATGGCATCGTTTCGTTTTATGTGCAAGTAAAAAAATTAAAGAAGAAGCTATTCTGAGTCGAGAAGCTGAAAAAGAAGTTTCAATCTACACATGAAGAGCAAGTGGCTTGCACGACTTGAAATCACCACCATTCATTCCCCTAGGAAGTCAAATTGCAAAATCAATGCTATGGCATCCACCTTCCGTATCCAATAACTTGTGCTAGAACATCACGTAATGCACAATGCCATCCAAGTCCGTGTGCAAAACCGCAGTCTGCTGCTACTAATATTCCGCATTACGCAACCAATCAAAATTACGAATGGGAACATTACTACTCGGTCTTTCTAAAACCTACCACATGAACTTCCATGAAAAATGTGTGAAACTGAACTACGACATCTTAGAATGCTTTGCATTACTTCCTACAGAAGACCAATAAAATAGAACAAAGAAAGGTGAAAGAATAAATCTGGACAGTAATGGCCAAGTATATTTGGTCAGTTGTACTGGTTTTATCTCTCAATTCACTTGAAAAAAAGTCCTAAACTTGAGACTGTATCAAGGGATCCACAAGCTTCCTTGCAATTTATCAGCATTATTGTAAGCATGCCACCTCCGATCAGTATCACTAACAACAAATTTCTAGGTCCCTGCCTCCTTCGACTCGACAGCATTTAACAAGTACTTCACATGCCTCTAAACAAGAATAGACTGAGAAGAATGACAAAGTGAAATGCACCAGAATACCAAGAAATTAGCCAAAACAAGGGGAACACACACACACACACAAGGCGAGATGCAAATATATAGCAGTTGGAGAAGCTAAAGTTGACCTTTCTATTTTAAACCCCATAAATAATCTGTTTATCATACTACAAAAACAGGGTTCTGGATGGCATTCAAGGGAACAACATCCAAATAGTCCTTGAAGTCCAGACAAGTTTCATAACAGCCCCAACCCACCCACCACCCACACACACACCCCCCCTCCCAAAAAAAAAAAAAAGAAAAAAGAAAAAAGAAAAAGAAAGAAGGAAATGAAAGGAGACTACCAGACCCTTGAAGCATCAGCCTCATGAATCTGCTACAACATAGCCAGCTTGACTGGCATGATAGTTGTAGTTCCCATTGAAACCCCTACCCCCTCTTCCTCTGTAATAGTTGTTCCTGGGATAGTAAGTACCAGGCTGGTCATAGTGCTGGTTGCGGCCATTCTGATAGGCCCCTCCCCTGCCGCGCCCTCCACGGCCATTAGCATATCCCCTACGGCCGCTTGCACCCACAGTACGACCACCTCTGTAATTTGGATACGATCTTCGAGGAGCATAATTTTGCTCCTTGGGCTCATACTCCTGCAAATTTTGTGCTTGATGTGTGGTGGGCTCATTTTGTACGGGAAGTTCAGAATAGTTTTCAGTCTCCCCCTGCCAAGCACGATTATTAAACGTACCATCAAGGAACAAACAAAAGGTAAAAAAAATCTTTGGGAGGAAAGACTACCTGATGAAATTCTTCTGCAGGGCTCAACTGATTATCATATGATTCATCTTCTTCAGCATTTGCTGTCTCTTCTTCCTGTATAATCCATAGAGATTTGAAAAGAGCAAATTCAATTCATATTTATTGAGCAAGGGCATGTAGACAAAGTGAATTCACCCCCACAAACAACCCCCCCCCCCCCCCCCAAAAATAGAAAAACACAGGAAAAGGTGAAAAAGGTACAGCATAACCGAAATAAAATAGTAGGCTCACTAAAATGCTGGAACCTCTTATCATGTTGTGTGAGAGAGAGAGAGAGAGAGTCATATTTTTAAATATATAATCCAGTAATCTAAACGAAATATGCAATGAAATTGCAGATGTTGAACGTTCATGGGCTAGACCACACATTATAGGTTGTACCTCCATGTAGCAGAACTATGATAGGCAACAAAAATGCATCCCATGCAAATAGTAGTATAAACTAAGTGTGAACAACCAAGCCCATGCAACAGCAAAAGGATGCTTGTGCCTTTCATTGAAGAGCAGTTTAAGCCAAAATAAACTAAGCATCCAGGGTATAACACCCCAGCCTCCATTACAATACTAAGGAAAGCATAGGCCAGTCTAACAACCGTACCTGAGTCACAATTCGCAGCACTCTATTACACAATCCATGCATGCTAAAAATGAAAAAACAACAAATTTCAGAGTATCAACCCAATCAAGCATAACCACATCTCTTACCTTCTGTTGATACTGCACCACAGAACCTTCGACTTGGACTGGCATGACAGATCCATGCGCTGGCACTTGAAAGGAACCATAGCTGCCAGCAGCAGCTGCCACCTCAACAGGAGCCTTCATCTCTGGTGTTGTAGTGAAATAGTCTGATGCCATGATCTTGTTTAGTTTCTCCCTCAATCCAGAATCTGCAAAAATTCCAAAAAAGCCATTACAACAAACAGAAGTGAAATGCGAACCAGTAATTATAAAAGTATATAACTAAAATTAAACAAAAAATTGGAGCAAAAAGGGGAAGAATTGTAACTTCATTCAATAGCCTAGAATCACCAAGCAATATAACAATAAATGAAATGCACAAAACACAAAACCAAAACTCATTAAAGCAATAAGCAGGATAACAGCATTGAAAACAGATAAGCTAGACACACACATATTACATGTTCATTCCACAGAAAAATGAGAAAAATTCATCATACATGTCAAATAAGGGTTAGATCCAATGGGCTGATCAGACTTAGCAAGCCAGAGCCTGGCATGCTTAACGCACAGTTGCAGTGCATTCTGATGGGACAAAGTCCAATTCACAGGCCTTGATATTAGCAGGCTCCCAAGCATAGATATGAGGGTTAGATCCATCTCACTAACAACCTCCCGCGCATTACTGTCATTGACATTAGTATATGCCAAACATCGCTCCCTCTCACTCCTAGTTGCCCAAAAATCAGGTCTACGCGGAAAGCTAAACACCGTCGCAAAGTACAACAGCCTTATAATTTCCTCAACCATGGAAAATTTTTTTTCAACCTCCGATTCCTTTAATTCCTTTTGAAGGCCAGCACAGACTGGTGATTTGAGCTTTAATACTCAACGCCACTTTAATACTCCTAATTTATAATTTCTTCTACGAACCCACCTTAATACTCAACGCCACTTTAACACCTAAGGTCAGCTAACTGGATTACTGGGTTTTATTGGACCCTTGCCCACCAATTTACAAGCTCTTCTCACCTTGTCAATGATAGGTCATGATTTATTGCTAAATTAATAACTATTTTTCCCTTGATTTTAGCTAAATAGTATTTTAATTGATAGATACTACTTATATTTGGTTAATGGTGCTAATTGTAGGAAAATAATCAAAACATGATTAAAAGGGACAATTTCTAGCTAATTTGACGGTGGCACATTCAAGTTCAGAAGGTTTGGGATTCGAGCGTGGAAGTTTCCAAGTCCGAGTAGAAGTCAACAAGAGCACGAGGAGATTTCCTAGCTTGATTGGGGCGGATGAAGAGCAAAGTGGAGTCAAAGTGGGGCTCTTTCCTTTAGTCTTCACACGGCCGTATAAGACAAGGAAATAATTAGAAGAAAAAGGAAGTAGACTTAGCTTAGGAGATTTATTCCTTACTTTTAGCAGGTTGCCCGTAGCTTTAAAACATGGAGGGGACTTTTTCTTTGAGGGCTGATTTTTACTTTTCTTCCTTGAACGAATTTGGGAGGCAACAATTGTAAGCTTCAAATACCTTTTCCGTGGGGGTTGTTCTCCATTAATGGAGGACTAACCTCCTACTGCTAGTCAAGGGGATAATTGAAGATTTGGTTCAACAATTACTGTGAGATCTAATTTATTTTAATTGCTTCCTTAATTTATTGGTATTTATATGTTTCCTGCTTTTAATTGCTATAGCTCGTGTGAGTGATTGAATAGATACGCAATATTTAATTATTCACATAGGCTATTTTGCCAAATAGGAATAATTGAATCCGTAATTGTTCGTTATCTTTATCTCAGTAGCAACTGGCGTAATCGGGTTTATGTCAGGGAAACATACAATCTAATTTAAACAAACCCTCTTAGCGTGTTTGTTAGTTAGGATTGGGCCTTTCTAATTATTAATCCAATCTAGAAATTAAATCCTACGGTCGTATCTAGAATTGTTTTTGGGTTAGAGAAATAGTAACCGGTCGTACCTTAACTATCGAGAAAGTAAGGAAATGTTGGTTGTTTATTGCGTGTATGACAACTATAACCAATCTATTAATAAATGTGGAATTATCTGTGAATCGATGATCAGTGCATGAACCATTTCTGAAGTGTACCCTTGGTTAGAGTTTTCCCTTAATTATTTCTCTTAATCAATTATTTTCTGCAGTTAATTTATTTAGTTAGCGTTTAATCCAAAACCCCCCCCCCCATACTTTGGACTCTAGAAGAAACGAATCATCCCCAGTCCCTGTGGATTCGACCCTACTCACCGCTATATACAAAATCTGTATTTTTCTCAATAGCCTAGAATCACCAAGCAATATAACAATAAATGAAATGCACAAAACACAAAACCAAAACTCATTAAAGCAATAAGCAGGATAACAGCATTGAAAACAGATAAGCTAGACACACACATATTACATGTTCATTCCACAGAAAAATGAGAAAAATTCATCATACATGTCAAATAAGGGTTAGATCCAATGGGCTGATCAGACTTAGCAAGCCAGAGCCTGGCATGCTTAACGCACAGTTGCAGTGCATTCTGATGGGACAAAGTCCAATTCACAGGCCTTGATATTAGCAGGCTCCCAAGCATAGATATGAGGGTTAGATCCATCTCACTAACAGCCTCCCGCGCATTACTGTCATTGACATTAGTATATGCCAAACGTCACTCCCTCTCACTCCTAGTTGCCCAAAAATCAGGTCTACGCGGAAAGCTAAACACCGTCGCAAAGTACAACAGCCTTATAATTTCCTCAACCATGGAAAATTTTTTTTCAACCTCCGATTCCTTTAATTCCTTTTGAAGGGCAGCACAGACTGGTGATTTGAGCTTTAATACTCAACGCCACTTTAATACTCCTAATTTATAATTTCTTCTCCGAATCCACTTTAATACTCAACGCCCCTTTAACACCTAAGGTCAGCTAACTGGATTACTGGGTTTTATTGGACCCTTGCCCACCAATTTACAAGCTCTTCTCACCTTGTCAACTAATTTACAAGTTTTTTTTTTAACTCACTTTAATACTCAATACAAACCTATCTTAACATCTAAGGTCACCTCTACTCCTAATTATGGACCCACTCTTTTTTGAAATCCAAACTGAATTTTTTGAATCCTTGCCAGCCCTCGACTTCTTGGTCTAACACCAATCGGATCCTTGTCAAACCCATGGCGCACTTGGTCCAACAGAAGCCAAACTCCCTAGCACTTTGACATTTTAGTCCACCATCAAGAAAAAAAATTTTCACCGGTCCAACTTCGAGAAGAATCCACTTACCCATGAATAGCCCAATATATAAGGAAAAAGTGTTTCGAAAGAGTCTACCAAAGATCTCAATATGTAAATTAGGAATCCAACTCTGACCCAAAAACTAAAGTTATTAGATCTCGAACCTTTACTTACATATGACCCTTTACTTTCCATCTCTCAAATCAATGTGGACATAATCTAATATGGTAAATAATGGTGCATTGCTAATCCTTAAGGATGGCAACGGGGCAGGTTTTGGGCTTGAGATCACTCCCCCGTCCCTCGTCCCGTTGCCCAAAAACTCCCCCTGCCCCCGCCTCTGTCCTCCCACCCCTCGCCTCGCCCTACTTCCCCCATGAGTGCTTGCGGGTGATAATTTGATTTTTTTTCTAGAAGCATTTATTCAATATATCGAAGCCAAATTCAAAAAATAAAATAAAATAAGGAGTTGAAAAAGTGAAAAATGAAATATGAAACAAGAAAAGTGTTGATATAAAACACCAAAAAAATTTAGAAACTCAATCGAATTCTATAGATAACATTGGGAAATACTCATAAAATGAGTAACATACTTGTGCCAAATATCAACTAAGAATTTGGATAGAAATTGGATAAAGGTTATATTTAGTTGTCAAATATTCTAAATTTATTATTATTAGATTATATAATATATTATATTTATTTATATTAATAAATTGAAGTGGAGGATAAGACGGGGGATGGGGCGGGAGCATTGTCCCCCATCCCTCCCCCCGTCCCATTTAAAACGGGAGAGAAAAATTCCCCCATCCCCGTCCCATTATTTCCCCGCGGGACGAGCACCCACCCCCATTGCCATCTCTACTAATTCCATGCATAATAATACTTGAATGAGGTACGCGGTTATCTGGCAAATTAGACGACACCATCTTCGAACAAAATAATGAGAGGATACCATGGAAATATATATTATGAATACTACAATGTTTATTGTTTAACGGGAGCCACTTCTCAATGGAGTTGAGGTAAAACTTTTGTCCCAAGAAAAAAGGTCTTTAGAAAGTAAAACCAACTTCGGAAGATATCATCAACCATCAGTGAAAAAATTAATCTTTGGAATATTTGTACATCACAAAACTACCCAACTAATATTATTTAGTCACTCAAAAAATGCCTATTTTATCGAGAAAATTAATAAAATTTCTCTGCCAATATAGAATGTTAGTGAATTATCTGCAAGATGATAGTTTTTCATTTTTATTTCCTGATTTCAATAGTTTTATGAGTATTGTGATATATCAATTTTGAAAGTTTTTCATTTTCATTTACAGATTTTATTATTTATATGAGTATTGTGGCATCCAACTTTCACCCTGGATGATATTGTTAATATGGTCACTAAAAGTTTTATCCTTATATTTCGCTCTCAAAAATTTCCAAGATATAAGGTTGAAATCTAGCTCAAAATGATGCAATTTTCTCTAGAATTCAAAGTTGAAATAGTGAAGATAACTTTAGAACAAGCATTTGTGCCTAGCGTAGGAAAGATTAATTCTCATCTATATTCATACTTCTTTTTGAGGGAAAGAAACAAGTTTTTTCGAGAGGAAAATGGAAGGGACAAAAAAAATAAAATACGAAAATATTTGTGCCTAGCGTCAGAGCGTGCTCAGCTCCTTCCTTTGTTCATGCAAATTCACATATTTTCTCCGATCTCAATTCAATATTGTCCAAAAAATAAACAGCGTTGTGATTAAATTTGTAAATTTCCGTAATCCAGGACTACTCCTAGTCCAAATTAATCTAGCTATTAGTATCCGAGTCGTATTGCAGTAGCTACATACAATTTTAGATCAGTTCGAAATCAAGAGATAAAGATGGAACCCCAACAAAATCTTGAAAAAATCTCGAAATTTTCTCTCGTCACGGACCCTATATTAACCAAAATTCGTAAACCCTTTTTGTTTCCAAATACAACCCTTCTTCCCTGACTATCGCCCCACACTTCTCTGATCAAAAGAGTCTTGAGAAATCATGGCATCTGGCCACGAAAGCTTCCCGCAAATAGAGGCCTCAGCCGATACGTCGACTGCTGTTAACGTTATTACCAGTCCCGGTGCCCATGCCTGCGCCCATCATCTGAGGAAAGACCATGAAAATGTCTTGTCTGGACTGAACAACACTAGCACGACATTGTCCAGCCCTAGTGATTCAAGACTCGTGGACAATGGTAACAAAAACCACAATGTCGTCAAGGACGATGATGATGCTTACAACAACGACGCTATAGATCGTGACAAGGACTACTTTGATACTTTTCCACCGGGGTATCGCTTCTGTCCGATGGATAGTGAACTCATTGTTTGTTACCTGAAGAAAAAGATTCTGGGCGAGCTTTTACCCAGGAATCAGATTAGAGAAGTTAATCTTTATCGCCAGAACCCTGATACAATATCAGGTTTTTCTTTTTCGTTCTTTTTTAATAATTTTTCTATTTTTCCTCAAGTACGCTTTTTTACTATATAATTGATTTCGCCATAACCCTGATTGTTATGCATGCATCAGGTTGGTCTAAATCGAAGTTCATTCGATTGACATGCACTTACTTTTGTGATGATATCTGGCATGGGGTTTTAGGGGTTTTACTTTAAGGGTTTTAGGGTTTCTGTTTTAATTAAGTTTTTACAGTGGATAATTATTAGTGCTTATTTATACATGTGTCCAACTTTACTTGTTCGTAGGCCTTGTTTATCACTGGCATGTTTGCTGCTGTATCTGGTCTAGCGACGTTGTATTCGCATTAACTACTATTCCTGTTCAATAAATAAATACATGCGTTTAATTCCCTCCTATCAAAGTTTTGAATTCTTGCAAACATGCATTACTATTTTGTTATTATACCCGAGAGAGTACTAGGGAAGTTGTGGACCATTAGTTCTCCGGCAGATTTATTTAGTCCCCTTTTTAGTCTATTTACGTGCTTTACTATATATCTTAATCCCTTTCTCTTTTCCACTTTAGGTCACAATCCTTGTTTGCTTCTGAGGTTTCTGACCGTGTTAAGAGCTTACTACATTCACGTTTAGTTTTAGATGTTGTCTTCTAAATTATTTCACTGACAAGAAAAGTGAAGATTTTTCCTTTTTTCTTTTAGGTGTTTGAAATTTTATCCCTGACAGTTACACACTTAATTACCTGATTTTTTTTTTTTTTTGTTTTGCGAGAGTGATCATGCACTTTACTTGTATACCACACTAAGAAAAATACAGATTTCTCTTCCATGTGGACCTTTTTATGCTACCAATTGTGTATGATAGGAAGATTTTCTTCCGCAATTTTCTTTTTTAAAAATCTTTCTTGTTTTATCTTCTCTATTTTAGGGAGATATCCAAGCATGGGCGATAATCAATGGTTCTTTTTCACACCGAGGGATAAAAAGTATTTGAACGGTAGTCGCCCAAATCGGGCTGCCGGTACCGGTTATTGGAAGGCCACTGGGGCAGACAAGAATATCCACTGCAATGGTGTCACTGTTGGTGTTAGGAAGACATTGGTTTTTTATGAAGGCAGACCTCCCAAAGGTGTGAAGACAAGTTGGATTATGCACGAATACAGGGTTTTAGGACATCATAAAAGCAAGAGTGCAAATGACATGAGGGTAGGTAACACTTACATAATTCTTAATCTTTTCCTTGAGTAAGTACTTATTAACCTTCCTTTTCTAATGTTATATATATATGTCGTACGTAATTGTTCTTCATTGATACTATTATTTATTCTTTGGATCTAACGTGTTATTCTTGTAGCTTGATGATTATGTCCTGTGCAAGATTTATAAAAAGAATCACAAATCTTTCAAAGCTCGGCAAAGGAATGATGAAAATCCTGGTTCATTTAATCAAAGCAATGATGGAAATCCTGATGATGAACTAGTCCAACAAGATGAACTTGGAGAAGAAAAGGGCAGTTTATTTGATCCTCCTCCCGGTAGCAATGAACAAAGTGGCTGCCCTTACACTTACCAAGCTAACTACACCTATCCTCATTTGGAATCTTTTTATCAATATCCGCCATCAGAGCAATTTCCAATGCTTGCGGGCATTCAACCACTATCCATCGAACCTGCAACAAACCCAGACATTGCCAAATACATCAGTAATTTTCCACCGCACTACTATCATCACGGGGCCAAACCTATCAGCAGTTTTATGCATCCATCTTCGTTCCTTCCAATACCTCCTGTCAATCCAGCTTTGTACCCTCCCACACTCACCATCAATGCCCCACACTTAAAAGGGGGTACATCAGTTTTTAATCCTGTTGGAGGAGGAAATATTGGTGATATGGTGGTACAAGATTATTTGGATTTACCGATGGACTTCATTGATTATGGTAATACAAATTCTGTGGATCCTTACCTTGACTTGGACAAACTCTCCTCGCATGGCTTTGAAAGTCCTTCGATGCCTCAAGATTCGCATGGCTCCCAAGATTCTTGAAGCAACATAGATCATCTTTATACTGACGATATATTGGTTAGGAGTATATATAGCTACTATTAGCAAACATTATCATTATTGACTCTATTTTCAGTTATTTTTACTTTGTTTTTCAGTTGCCACATTTTTCTTCATATGTACATATAGGGATTGGATGAATTTGACCGTTCTTGACTTGCCGTGGGGGGCATTTGTGTCGAGAAGCTGAAAAAGAAGTTTCAATCTATACATGAAGAGCAAGTGGCTTGCACGACTTGAAATCACCACCATTCATTCCCCTAGGAAGTCAAATTGCAAAATCAATGCTATGGCATCCACCTTCCGTATCCAATAACTTGTGCTAGAACATCACGTAATTCACAATGCCATCCAAGTCCGTGTGCAAAACCGCAGTCTGCTGCTACTAATATTCCGCATTACCCAACAATCAAAATTACGAATGGGAACATTACTACTCGGTCTTTCTAAAACCTACCACATGAACTTCCATGAAAAATGTGTGAAACTGAACTACGACATCTTAGAATGCTTTGCATTACTTCCTACAGAAGACCAATAAAATAGAACAAAGAAAGGTGAAAGAATAAATCTGGACAGTAATGGCCAAGTATATTTGGTCAGTTGTACTGGTTTTATCTCTCAATTCACTTGAAAAAAAGTCCTAAACTTGAGACTGTATCAAGGGATCCACAAGCTTCCTTGCAATTTATCAGCATTATTGTAAGCATGCCACCTCCGATCAGTATCACTAACAACAAATTTCTAGGTCCCTGCCTCCTTCGACTCGACAGCATTTAACAAGTACTTCACATGCCTCTAAACAAGAATAGACTGAGAAGAATGACAAAGTGAAATGCACCAGAATACCAAGAAATTAGCCAAAACAAGGGGAACACACACACACACACAAGGCGAGATGCAAATATATAGCAGTTGGAGAAGCTAAAGTTGACCTTTCTATTTTAAACCCCATAAATAATCTGTTTATCATACTACAAAAACAGGGTTCTGGATGGCATTCAAGGGAACAACATCCAAATAGTCCTTGAAGTCCAGACAAGTTTCATAACAGCCCCAACCCACCCACCACCCACACACACACCCCCCCTCCCAAAAAAAAAAAAAAGAAAAAAGAAAAAAGAAAAAGAAAGAAGGAAATGAAAGGAGACTACCAGACCCTTGAAGCATCAGCCTCATGAATCTGCTACAACATAGCCAGCTTGACTGGCATGATAGTTGTAGTTCCCATTGAAACCCCTACCCCCTCTTCCTCTGTAATAGTTGTTCCTGGGATAGTAAGTACCAGGCTGGTCATAGTGCTGGTTGCGGCCATTCTGATAGGCCCCTCCCCTGCCGCGCCCTCCACGGCCATTAGCATATCCCCTACGGCCGCTTGCACCCACAGTACGACCACCTCTGTAATTTGGATACGATCTTCGAGGAGCATAATTTTGCTCCTTGGGCTCATACTCCTGCAAATTTTGTGCTTGATGTGTGGTGGGCTCATTTTGTACGGGAAGTTCAGAATAGTTTTCAGTCTCCCCCTGCCAAGCACGATTATTAAACGTACCATCAAGGAACAAACAAAAGGTAAAAAAAATCTTTGGGAGGAAAGACTACCTGATGAAATTCTTCTGCAGGGCTCAACTGATTATCATATGATTCATCTTCTTCAGCATTTGCTGTCTCTTCTTCCTGTATAATCCATAGAGATTTGAAAAGAGCAAATTCAATTCATATTTATTGAGCAAGGGCATGTAGACAAAGTGAATTCACCCCCACAAACAACCCCCCCCCCCCCCCCCCCCAAAAATAGAAAAACACAGGAAAAGGTGAAAAAGGTACAGCATAACCGAAATAAAATAGTAGGCTCACTAAAATGCTGGAACCTCTTATCATGTTGTGTGAGAGAGAGAGAGAGAGAGTCATATTTTTAAATATATAATCCAGTAATCTAAACGAAATATGCAATGAAATTGCAGATGTTGAACGTTCATGGGCTAGACCACACATTATAGGTTGTACCTCCATGTAGCAGAACTATGATAGGCAACAAAAATGCATCCCATGCAAATAGTAGTATAAACTAAGTGTGAACAACCAAGCCCATGCAACAGCAAAAGGATGCTTGTGCCTTTCATTGAAGAGCAGTTTAAGCCAAAATAAACTAAGCATCCAGGGTATAACACCCCAGCCTCCATTACAATACTAAGGAAAGCATAGGCCAGTCTAACAACCGTACCTGAGTCACAATTCGCAGCACTCTATTACACAATCCATGCATGCTAAAAATGAAAAAACAACAAATTTCAGAGTATCAACCCAATCAAGCATAACCACATCTCTTACCTTCTGTTGATACTGCACCACAGAACCTTCGACTTGGACTGGCATGACAGATCCATGCGCTGGCACTTGAAAGGAACCATAGCTGCCAGCAGCAGCTGCCACCTCAACAGGAGCCTTCATCTCTGGTGTTGTAGTGAAATAGTCTGATGCCATGATCTTGTTTAGTTTCTCCCTCAATCCAGAATCTGCAAAAATTCCAAAAAAGCCATTACAACAAACAGAAGTGAAATGCGAACCAGTAATTATAAAAGTATATAACTAAAATTAAACAAAAAATTGGAGCAAAAAGGGGAAGAATTGTAACTTCATTCAATAGCCTAGAATCACCAAGCAATATAACAATAAATGAAATGCACAAAACACAAAACCAAAACTCATTAAAGCAATAAGCAGGATAACAGCATTGAAAACAGATAAGCTAGACACACACATATTACATGTTCATTCCACAGAAAAATGAGAAAAATTCATCATACATGTCAAATAAGGGTTAGATCCAATGGGCTGATCAGACTTAGCAAGCCAGAGCCTGGCATGCTTAACGCACAGTTGCAGTGCATTCTGATGGGACAAAGTCCAATTCACAGGCCTTGATATTAGCAGGCTCCCAAGCATAGATATGAGGGTTAGATCCATCTCACTAACAACCTCCCGCGCATTACTGTCATTGACATTAGTATATGCCAAACATCGCTCCCTCTCACTCCTAGTTGCCCAAAAATCAGGTCTACGCGGAAAGCTAAACACCGTCGCAAAGTACAACAGCCTTATAATTTCCTCAACCATGGAAAATTTTTTTTCAACCTCCGATTCCTTTAATTCCTTTTGAACGGCAGCACAGACTGGTAATTTGAGCTTTTCAAGCTCATTGATGCAGCCCATCACAGAGGCTTTGGAATGAAGGGTTTCTTCCTGCTCTTTATTGAGGGTCTTGCCCTGTGAAAGGACCTCTTCCATTTGAAGAATGCGGTTGTATTTCTTGCGGAGGGCACGAAGGCGCTTGTTGATGACGCTCAGGACAGGCCCATCACTAACACTAGATGCCCCAATTGCAGCCATTGATGGGTGATTGATCTAATTGGTATTAAACAGGAAGGTAATTGAAGGGTATATGTTGTTGAGAAAACAAACTGGGGAAAGGGGGATTGACGGAGTATTCGAGGACGAAATTGAGGGTTTAAAGAGAGAGTATGGCAGGGGTGGTGCTGTCACACAGTAAATTGGAGTTCACGGTGCATGTGTGTACGGTCACAGGGGGTATTTATAATTCACAGCATATTACTTGATACAAAAAAGTCTCAATAATTGCACCGATTAATTGCATCCATGACATTTATTGGAAATACCTATTACAGCTTTTAAAGATTGACTTCCTATAAATGCCTTAACAACCGTGATAATGACACTGCTGTGACGTTCATGATGTCAAATCAAAGCATAAGTTAAGAATATAAAATGTGATAACACGTATTTGTACACTACTCATTACAGTCTCTGATTAATGCAGTGGTATTACATTTTACTTTGGTCCCTCACAATTTCATTTGAACTCCTAGAAAACTATAAGATTTTCAAGTTGCCCCAAATTTTCTAGAAATTTAAAGAACAGCACATGAGAGATCTAATTTGCGTTTGCACATCAACTGTAGATGAAAGATAAGGATGTAAAAATCTTTTTGCACACCATATAGGAGTTTGTTCAAGCATATCTAAGTTAAGGTGTTTTAAAACCACCTGCTCTAGCTTACACATTTAGCAGATGGTCATGGCTACACAAGATATTATGCTAGAGCCCTATTTGAATCCAGATATCTAAGACGATACCCTGACTGTTACCCTTTTTCAGCCCACAGACAATGCATGTGGATCTTTCCATCTTTATATACAGATTCTGTTGTTTATTGACTAGATAGGAACCAGTAAGAATGTCCAGGGCTTATTTATCAAAAGCAAAGTTTAAGGAACCAAACTAGAGAAGGCTATAGATGCTAGGGACCATTGGAGCAAGTACCCTCAAAATAATTTATATACATGACACTTACGGTAACAAGATCAAGAAAGCATCTTTAATCATTGTGTTATGAGTAACCACCACTTATATCAGTATAGAGGTCGAATGCTATCTGTTTCAGCCATTAGCCATAAATTTTATTTATTTATTTATTTTTAAGAAGATTCTTTTTCACCTCCAGTTATCATTATTTCAGAACAGCACTTTAGGATTGGCTAAGCAGGTAGAGCAGGCACAATAGAGTAACAGTCAGATAGCATCCACATCTAAGGAACTCTACACTTCATTTTGGTGGGAAAAAAATGTTTTATACAGAAAGTTCAAGTGTTCTCTCGTTTGGGAGAATAAGACAAAGAGAGGAGAAGTAAAATAGGGAGATTTCACTAACTCCAAATAACCTATATATGGAGAGAGATTCTTCATTAAAATGCTAATTTTGCCCATGAAACAATCATCAATGTAATTGAGATGTAACCCATTTTTTCTCTCCTAATAGTGATTTCTGTTCATTTCTTTTCTTTCCTGAATTCGCAAACTAGGCCAAAAAGTATATGTAGTTAACGTACTATGCTTGTACCAAATTCATGCACTTCAACGGATGAGTAGACATAAAAATAAGTTGAAAATATATGCATGACCTGATGATATTGAAATTGAATGTATTTGCAAAACAGAAGAGTAGACTGAGCTTCCAAGCAGGACAGAAATTAGGAAATTATTCCTTAGGCCTTCATAACAATATATCTAATTTCCAGTATGACACAAACTAAACACGGTAACGGAGACTAATAGTAATAACTTAAAACATCAAAGGAGAACTTTACTCCGCGGCCACATATCCAGAATGTTAGTGTTATTTAATCTCAGCAACTTATCTTAAAAATTTCAGCAATTTGGAAAAATCTAGTAAATTTTAAATCACAGCATTGATCCATTACAATTCTCATTGATTTTCTTCTAGCACTTGATAGGAAAAGTACCATTTTAAAGCCAGTTTAGCTGATGATTGATTATGATCACTAGCTTCTTGAATGATTCCAAGTGTAAAACAAGACCAAGAAGTAATGAGAGAGCTTAATTGCCCACATATTAAAAGAACACAATTCTGAACATAATAAACAAGAAATTGAGAAGCTATAGAATCCCATTGAGACACCAAATAATGAGTACTCCGCTCAATGTGAGAAACGTGAACTGGAGAAAATCAATTAGAACTCCCTACATGATGCTTTCTTAACCTTGGATGAATAATCATAACATATTAAGCTTGATTTTGAGGTTAATACTTTTGTATTCCCTAGATAATCCTTTCTAGATCTTGGATTGAGAATGATACAAATAGTAAGCTTTAACTTCAAAATTAACACTTTCTGTGCTATCATCAACAATAATAGCCTGACTTTATCACAGCAGCACAGCCATGGCATGTTAAGCTAGACTTTGAGATTAAAACTTTTTTATTCCCTTGATAGTCCTTTCTACGTCTTGAATTGACGATCATAAAACTAATAAGTTTAACTTCAACAACAGTCATCCCAATTTTATTGTAACAGCAGAGTTATGACCTCTGCCAAAGACAAATATAACACAAACGACACATAGAGACACGTATGAACATACACATGGAGAGAAACAGTAAAAAAAGGATAACTCAACAATGATTAAGTTCCCAAACAAGCAAATGGATGTTTAGCATTCATACAAGTGACGTTAGAAGCCGGTTCAACGAGCTGATCAGACTTGGCTAACCAAAGCTTGGCATGCTCAATGCACTTCTGCAAGGCATTCTTATGGGACAAACTCGAATTCACTGGTCGCGAAATCAGTAACCCTCCAAGCATTGAAATCAAGTCCAAGTCTCTCTCCCCCAACAACAGATCCGCAGCATCATCATCCGTGACATAATCATAAGTTAAACAACACCCCCTCTCATGAGTCCTAGTTAGCATTGTCGCGGTAAAATCATTCTGATTTTTCACATCAAACATACTCCCAAAATACAATAAGTTTAACAGATCCTCAGCCACCCCATGTTCCCCACTTTCCGCCTTATCCTTGAGGTCTCCTCCAATATTAGGATTATTATTCTCATTACTACCATTGTCATTACTGGGTTTTTCCACTACAGTAGTACTATCGGTGGTTGTCGGGCTATTTTCGCTGTGGCTCTGGATGGCAGCGTTGATTTCTTCGGAAACGGCAACGGCCAGGGGTTGTTTAAGCTTTTCGAGCTCATCGATGGCGGCGATGACGTAGGGTTTAGAACGGAGGGTTTCTTCTTGCTCTTTATTGAGGGCTTTGCCCAGGGAAAGGGATTCTTCCATTTGGAGAATGCGGTTGTGCTTCTTGCGGAGAGCGCGGAGGCGTTTGTTGATCAAGCTGAGGACTGGGCCATCGGTGGCGTCAGAAGAGGAGGAGGCGACGGTGGCCGCTGCCATATTTGACAGTGGTTTGTGAGGCGGCGGTGGTGGAGGGGTTTGGTGAAGTAGGTTCTGCCGCCGTGCAAGGCGGAGGTGGAGGGGATTTAAGGGAGGGTTTTGGGAGAGCTGCTGAGGCGAAGGAGTAAAGCCCGAGAGAGAGAAAAGAAAAGTGAAGCGGCTGCTTGTGGTGATGGACCTGACAGAAGATTTTCACAAGTGTGGTGTTGGGGAAATTTATATATAATTCTATTATATTTGGTGGGAAAAAATTGAAATGATATCAACTCACGATCATTGGTACCAACCATTTCCAGTGATGAATTTTCTTTAGGGGTAATAAATTGATGAATTTTCTTGTTGATGAAAATTTTTGGGTTTCGATCTATTAATTCTTTTATTGTAATTCAAGCAATCTGCTCAAAAAACTTTAGGTGAAGAAGGTTCCCATCAGTGGCTATCTATAATGAAGAAAAGTAGCGTTGCAAAAATGGATTTATAATGCGTGAGATAATAACACTCACTTTATATTATATATTATATTATTAAAGAAAATTAATTGTATAATTTGTTGCAAGTCCCATGTATGTTAAAAATCGATGAACATTTTGTAATATTATTGAGCCATGCAACTTTTTTCCTGACCAATCGAGGCCAATAACAGTTCAGTTCAGTTCAGTTCTTGATTGTCAAAAGAATGGGAGAACAGCAGAATCTGAAGTCGCACATCCAGTATAGACAATCACAGTAGCAACTAGCATTGCTGTCATAATCCTCACATCTCAACTCTGTTGGTAAGCTGAATTCAAGCAATGAGATTTAGGCCGTGCTAGGTCACTAACGGGCTCCATTTTTTATTGCAACACTGGGATTTCTTCTGGGCCATCTTCATTTTTTCCCTATATGGGTGATGCATAGGAAAAAGTGTCAGTAGTGTTCGAAGACTATCCTTGCAGCAAGTAGCAAGGACGCAGTCACTGAGAACACATTGCTGGTTTCCCCCATAGCCAGTCTTAAAATTTCTTTCAGTGTTCAATGTCTCTGGGAAGTTTGGCTTTTCGTGCATAGACGTGCTGCATCTCCTCCTCCCAGGTCTGTAAGAGATCCAGGTGAGTAATTCGACACATGAAGGCAAGTAAATGTAAGTCATATGAGGTACATCTAAAGTCATGGTCCCGGAAGCAAAAGTTGCGCATGGTAGATCCATTCTTCACTGACCGGAGACCACAAGCAATGAGGGTGTCAAATCTTACCTCATATCTAAAGGAAATCCTTATATTTGGCACGTTTGTCTTGTGAATGTCATTTGCTTCAGGGCCTCTTCTGAAATACTGACTTCCAAGCCAATGCAACTAAAACCAAGACAAGAATCTAGTCAATGCGATCTTGCCTTGTTCATGATTTTTAGGAACAATTGAAATTCAAAGACTTGATCAAACAGCAACAACTCTAGTGACAGCTTCTAATTGACTATGATAGGAATCCCGTGCAAAAAGGAAACTTCAAATGCTCCACGAACAAAAGAATGAGCAATTGCATTACAAGTTTAGAATTAAGAGTTTCATTTCCCTCCTGTCAACTAATGTTTGAGTTCATGCAAATTGCATGCAGAAAGGTTACTGTGATGGAAGTAAATGTGGAAGGTAAGGTGTACTAAATGCTCATACAACAAGTTTTCTGCTGCGCATTGTAGAGAATAGGATTATTGTCAATTAGATACCAATTTCAACAATCTATAATTAGCTGACTAAGCCACATCAGTTAACAAGCATAAAGGATCTTCATTCAAGATCCATGGTGTAATTAAAATGCTGTTAACCTATATGTGATTGTTAACCAACGACAAAAACACTGATACCGCTGCATTCTGAAATTGCTTACCTTTGCAACATGTGAGAATCCAGATTGATAAACAGAATTTCTAGCTATCTCACACAGGTCACATGAACTGAGCTTCCACACCTGAGGGAGAATAATTATGTGATTTATATGACCTTGATGGGACAATGATAAAGATAAAATTCAAAAACCTTTGCAGCAACACTGTATTCTTCCACAAGTGGCTCTTTGGTCAAATGGATTTGCAGAGGATCGTCAGTTGACAGTGAGACATTTAAACCTCGCTGGAAGAACACAGGAAATGGGTTGCGATGATAGTCAAGGAAAAGTGAATTATTGCTAAGTGGAGACATTGCCAAACCAATCTGCAAAAATCATGAGTAGCAAACTACATTACACCATTCACATGACAAATTAACTAAATAAAGGTAGTATGGGTTTTACTCTTCCTATCAAAACACTAGAGATATCTAGATAGCATAGGGTGAACCCGTTTTAAAGAAAATTGCAAAGCAACTTTGTCTGCAATCTAGAAAACTGATTATGCTTTCTAGACATGGCCTTTTGTGCATGGAGACTACATAATTGTGCAATCCTAGCATGTGACAGACCTGCGCAAGGTAGTACAGGTACTGCAGGACAGGCGATTTCCTCAAATTGATCCCATGAGAAATATTGTGGCATAAAAGAAACCCAGCAGCTAAATGGTCTATCTCACCTGCCTGTGAAAATATACACATTTAAATAGCAAATCACAAATCTTGTAGCAGGTAAAGATAGGATAGGATTATGGGAAATAAGAAAACAACCTCCCCACAGTGAGGGCGGAACCTAATTGTCGGCAGTCCTTTCGATTCCCGAAGCTGAAAATGAAGAAGACATGATAAGCTTAAACTTAAGACAAATATGTCGTCAATGAAGCAAAAGTTATGCTCCATTCCTCTCTGAGAGAGAGAGAGAGAGAGAGAGAGAGAGAGAGATGAAAAACAATATGAGGAAGGTATTTGAAGATGGTTATACATATTCTAGAAAGAAAGAGACCAATCTACTATCAGCTTCAATTGACTCTGACTTTTGCAATAGTGTATTAGGTTTTAGGTGCCATTTTGGCATATGAAATAAACATCTTCACCTCAATATTTACACTCTTGCAAGATAATCTCACTTGACCCTTTTCCGCTATGTTTTCTGGACGAGCACCCAATTACATTAACCACACGCATAAGAGATGAAATAATCATTCATTAGCTTCTAGCTGATAGAAGTTCAGATAGTGCTATGAGCTGTATAAACTCATTAGCAAAAATGTTCTCACCTTATTCAGTGTATACAAGTTTGCATAGCAGTAATAGGCATAATAAGAGAAGGCAGGGTTGAATTCATTAGTCCATTCAGCTGGCTTAGGCATGTGTTTGGTCGGGCGCCTCTCTGGTTTACTTTCATCATCTACAATGTCAAATCCTACAACCTGGGCCAAGAAAGAACATTAGGCATTTGTACAAGAGAGGAAAGAAAAGGATAATATATCAACAATAAACGTTGACCAAACATGAAGATCGTTTAAAGAAATGTTGGAAGTATCAGCACAAAGAGATGAAAACTATGCCACATTTTTAGGAGTGAGTGAGGACCTGCATTAGGAACAGATGTAAATGAGGGTGAGAACGTGGGTCGACAGTAACTTCAAAAAGTGGTATGAATACGTTATCTAATATGGTCTGGAAGGATGTAACAGTGCCCATACTCCGGTAGATGTTGTACAGCCGTGGAAGCTGCAAATAGTGCACTTAGAAATTTGTCAACCAAAAGAAACAAGGCCCAAAAACTTGAGAAAATATACACTGATAAAAAACTTACATGAATGGAAGCAACATGAATAGTAGACAACTATTTCTAAGTAATTTCTCACAAATGAATTGCAAATCGAACTATGTTCTGTCCGAAGGAAAGCACCATGATAAAACCAGAGCAGGCTTGTTAAGAATGATTAAGAACTTGTTCAGTTATTTCCTGTGCTATGAATTATATAATTGAAGGTTTCAGGTGATCCCACTAATCCTGTAGATCATTCCATGTAATTCTAGTTTTGCAACTACAAACAGCTCAATTACACATAAAGCTTCCTCTTCAAGCAAACAAAATTAGAAACCCTGTCAAGTTAAGAACATCAACGACATGAAGCTACAATGCCAATGAAGGACTAGAAGCACATCAGAGGAACATCACAATACCTGAATTAACCACACAGCATTTTCACTATATAGTGCATTGTTAACAAACCAACTTGCAAGCTGATCCCATTCACTTTGTTTCCTTCCATAGATTGAAATTCGGTACTCAGCCATCTGAAAAGGAATAGACAAACAAAAAAAGAGAAATTTAACGTTGCACCCTCCATTAGGCAGAAGAGGAATGCCTTTCCATAGCTCAACCATACGAACAAGGCGCAAGGGAATTATCATATAATCCAATCCAAATAGAAATGAGAACTATTGTTTTTCCCGTACACATGTTTAGCTAAAAGCCCAAAAAACCAAGGGAAAAGATATCAGATTTATGGTGGTGAAGCTTTAGAAATTTCAAAAGAGAAAACTCCTATACACCACATAAGAACAACAGATGCAAAAGTCCTGATGTATGCGAATGTTGAAAGATTAGATGGCTCTACCTGGTATTTACTAGCTTCAAGATCCGATAACACTTCCTTTGTTACTTCAGCCAGAAAACGCCCTGACATCACAAAATGATAAAACCCTAGAATAATCTTGTAACTAGTTCTCAAATCAGAGTGGCACATTCAATAATACATGCCTGAAGGAGGTTAGACAGTTGTGAGGAACTAAAGTGCTAGGCAATAAATTCTTCAAGTTTTTCTTTTCTTGCAAAAGAGAAGCATCATCTAGCTAGGCACTGCACAAGAATTTATATTTCTGTCTGAAGCTCCAGAGGTCTCTAGGCATTACTCCCTCACTCTTAAATGATAAAAAGCTTCAAGAAAAAATATTGAAATGAAAAAATATAGAAGGAATCAAACTACATAGATGGATAACCAACAACAGTCATTTCAATTATGTACAATGATTTTGACATGGCCATTAAAGTTTCGTATCATTTTTAGGAAACCACAGCAGCATTTGTTTTACAAGAGCAATCCTAATCCAGCCAAAGAAAGGTCCTCGTATATCACACCTTGGATGAGATTGTCCTGCTTTAGAAAGATCTCCCTGAGTCTGCTTTGCCCGCAAGGATTATACTTGAGATTGAATTTGTCAAAGCGATGGAAGGTACTCTTATCAGCATGCACATCTAGCAAATCAACGTTAAGGTCATACCTGCAGAACAAACCTGTGTAAAATGCAGTAAAGGAAAAAAAATCTGGCATTAATATTCAAAATTTAGGCAGACCCTGTCAAGTCCAAACTCTCAAAGACTTCCTTCAAAGTAAGATACTGTCCATCACGGAATATGACAACCTGTATAACAATAGGCAATTGTATGATTAGAGATCATCAAACAGATACACGGAAAGTGCATTTGCAATAAAAGCCCTGACACAAAAAAGTTGTTCAATTGAAGAAACCATACTGAAAGAATGCACAAAGAAACTAAATGCACAGGGAAACTTATGCTCTACCTCATCTGGTTCTTTTTTTAATTTTGATTTGATGAACCGGAGAAGATGCTTCTGGTTCATACAAGCAGAATGATGTACATGAGTATCAACTTTTCTGATATTATATAGATCACGATGAGGAGCACTCTTTTGAGCCAGAAATTCCCTATCAGCATTTACTAGTAGGTGAAGACGGAATTTCTGTAAAACATTCAGAAGTCAGGAACAAACAGGATACAACAGCTGAGCACAAGCAGGAGACAATACGAAAGGTGCTGGGCATGGGAATACAGATGAAGAGACCAGAGATTCCGCTACCTCCTCAAGGAACCGCAATCGATGATGGCATGCAGAGCGAACATTTCCAACAGACATCACTTTCAAGATATGATGCATATCAGTGAAAAATGATGTTGCATTTGCAACAGGGAAAAGGTCTTCAGTATCTAGAGAGTTCGGCACATTTAGAAGATTTATTAGATGTCATCATGCAAGACGCCAAAAAAAAAAGTAATCAACAAAATTTCTTCATAGTTGTTGTCTTCAATCATCACTATTCTCCATTGCAGCCTCAACTTACCACTTTCATTGGCATAGACATGTACAACTCCATCTTCCATTTTAAAGTGGTGCTGATCTCAAATAGAAACAGAACATCAGTCAAAAGTTATCGAGTTTGAGCAAAAACAAATGGTTTCATCCATGTAACTCTAGATGCATAACCTAAAAGCCCAATGACAATTAACACATAAAGCGATATGACTCACTGCAGTGGCTTCAACGGGAGCAGAGTTAAATGGATTCTGTTTTACATCTGATGTGGCAGATTCCTGGACTACTTTAGTCCATGGAGGAACTTTTTCCCTGAAAACATATTTTTCCCTCAAATCTAAACATTCCCGAATCATCTTCAGTACTTCTTCCTCTTCAATGTTCAGTGATTCTGAATTTCATATTTTTAGCAAGCATCAGAGAAAGAATATGGAACTTAAAACCCCATTGACAAACACAATCCTACTATACAATTAGATTTCTTAGCAAAAACTAAAACTACCACTATTTTAGTGAAAAGACATAATGCCGTCTACAAACTATTATTGGTAGGGTGGCAAGTTAAGTAGGAGGGCACCTAAAAGCCACTAAAACATTTGAGATTACCAGGATGAGGAGTTGAGAATACCATGAACTGTAGCCCTCACAGGTAAATATTTGCTAGTACTGGTGCAAGAACTTCTCATTGTGTGCATTGAAGCCTTTTCAACCTTTGCATCCTCATCATTTCCATTAGCTTTTGATTCATGTGCGATTTCTTTGCATCGTTGAGCTTGGATGTAGTTGGCATTTTCAGCATTTGATGGAGCCATGTGTAGATTTGGGATATTAATATTTATTTCCTGCAGATGAATTGATGAAAAACGCACTAGTAACTTTACCACTAAAATTTTTCCCTTTAATTCCTCTAGAATTACCCAAAAATGTAACCTGGCTTCAGGCTCAGGCAAGGAAACATTTCTACAAATGCTTATCTATGCCATTTGATAAAGAAATACAAGATGACAGATGGCAAATTGATATGGGGATATTTTAATGGGAAAGACAAATATGTTGTCAACAAATAAAGTCCTTTTACTCCTGCAAATGAGAACAGAAGAAGTGACTAAATCAGCAAATTCTCATTAGACAAGTTACACGATTGCATCTCCAAAACAGCTGCAGATTACATAAGGTAGATAGTAAATGATATACTTAAAACCAGCAAGAAGCCATTACCTTCATAACTCCTAAGCCCTTTACAAATTCCAACGTTACTTTTTTCAATCAGCAAGAGCAATGCATAAAAACCTAAACTAATCACAATTGAGGTATTAACCTGACAAGCATATTTTGGTTTGGTCCAGAATTTTCAATAGCATTGATGACTCTTATACTTAAATTGTTGCAAAAGTATCAAAAGTATGAAGCATTATCTCACAAAAAAGGGCCAGGAAACACAAAGCATTTTCCCAAAAGTATAAAAAAATAATTAAACACCAGAACTGAATATCAATATTTGGGTAGAGAGGTGTTCATTTTTCTTTAACTCTAAAGGCTATTGAAATAGACCAGAACATGTTGATGAAAAATTTTGTTAGAGCTATGCTTGAAGATGTTTTAAATGATCAAAAAGACTTTCTCTTGGTCAAAGCCATCAACTGTACACGTCACAACTCTTTAGAAATAAAAATTACACAACTCTTACCTTGTTGTAAGACAAAAGAGTGGCACCCATAGTTGTACGCTCAGTTTCTTCCTCATCAGAATCTCCTGCACTATCAACAGTATAACCAGCAGATGATCTTGGAGTAACTAAACGACCAATTGATCCTACCATAAGCTGTGGGCCCAAGTGGTCAACATATTGATCATCTCCTGCTAAAGAGAAAATGAGATACTTGAAGTGATCTTTTGTTATATATTTTTCTGTTAACATAGATTTTTGTCATCTTCAAAAATCAACATCAGACCAGGGACAACAGAATCAATTAATCAAAGAACCCTATCATCAAGCTCCTCATCTGCTGTTTCAGGTCCCTCAGAAAACAACCAAAATGCTTTCGGTCCTCAAAATTGTACTGCATTAGTAAAGATTCACCATTTTACTTAGCATATCCTCCTATCCTCATCTTTTCGTTCAGAGCTCTCGTGATCAAAACTATTATCAATACTATCTCCATGTTGAAAAGAATGAAATACATGTCATAGTAATGGCAGCGGAGTTTAGGAGTTACAGGTGGCAAAATCATTAAAACTTCCAGCAAAATCGATAAAACTACCAATTTATTTAACTTTCAGTTAAAGATTTTAAAATTTAACGAAATAACCCTTCACATACAAATCATCTCTGACTTACAATTTGTGATTGGATAATTCAGCCATCTTTGATTCCATGATGATTAACTTTCGCTGATCTAAAGTCAAATATAGGTTTAAAGGTTAAAATATTGATTATCTCAGGATTAGTTCAAGATAGCCTATCCACATTCTATGCACAGTTAATTAACCAAGCATACAACAAAAAAATACTGACATAAACGCATTTCTAATTCATAAACTTACACTAAAAAGAGGAAGAAACTATTTTGATTTGTAAATGCAGAAAAAATACCATCTCTCTGCTGAGTTCGAAGAGGAGGCAAGTCAGATGAAATAATATCAAGATTATGATCCAATAAATTTGACAAAGCTTTCTTCTCCTCCTCATCAATCCACTCATTGGATGTTCTCACATTCGGCATCGACGACCAAACTCTATAAAGTCCAACCCGCGCTTTTTCCTCCTCCTCCACACCATCCCCAATAATTCCATCGATATTGTCAAATGATGTCGATAACTTATCCCGCCTACCTCTATTAATGCATTCCTCACTATATGCAGCAGCCGAGTAATCAGCATCTTCTTCATCGGCGTCGGAGACGATATGGCAGTTGTAGTGGTTTCTGAGGGTGGAGGAGGGCAGATGTTTGCGGCGGAGCTTAATAAGACGGTCGAGGACTTGGTCGACACTGCGTTTATGAATGTAGAAAGCGGAGATAGCCATGACCGAGGCTCCCAATAGAGCTGCTAACGCGAGCTGTACTGGTGACTCCATTGCTCCCTGGCGCTGGCAGTGGCGGGATTCTGGTGTGTGTTTTTAGTGCGTGCCCGTGAGTGTGTGCTGCCGTGCTGGGTTTTAGGCATTTGTATTTAGGCAGCGTTTGGATGGAAGGAATTGGAAGAAAGGAAAGAAGAACGGAAGAGAAAAGAAAGAAGAGTAAAGTGAGTGAAAGGAAACTATCATCCATTTAGTTATTTTTCTCTCCATAATTTTAGAAAATTTTAAAATTTTTATTAATTTTGATATCCTACCCCTCTTTCTGGTCACTTTTGGATGGAAAGCAGGCTAACAGAAAAGAAAAAAAAAAATCAAACCTTTATCCCACCATTTCTTTTCCAATCTTTTTCTTTCTCTCTGTAAAGATCATTTCAAACATCAAAAACTTTATCCCTTCTTTTTGTTTCTCTCCCATTCCCTCAAAACAAATAGTCCTTGGTATTTGAGGTTATTGATTTTATTTTTGTAATTTAACTGAACTAACTATTTATTGAGTTCATATTGAGTTACTTATTAGTTAACCAGCGTGGTTTTGAGGCAAGTTCAATTTGTCCGGATTCATACCAAATTCAATAAGAATGTGATAAAAAAAATTTTGGTGCTTATATAGATATATATATATATATATCTTATAGAAGATATTACTATAACACATTCAAAATAATAGAAAATTCCATTTAATCAACTAAATCAACATAACATATATGTCTAACATTTTGAAGCATGATAAATTAAGAAATTAGACATTTTAAACATGAAAAGAGCTCACAGTTCACGGAGGTTAAAACGCTCATGATGCATTTAATTGTTAGTAAAAATAAAAAATTACGTAAATTACACTAAGAATGATAGAATAAGTTAACAAATCATAATTTTATTTTGAAACATTCACGTATCAAAGGGGAAAAATAAGAGACAACGGTGGCATTAAAAAATGAAGAAGAAAATTACAAAGAAGAAAGAAATAAGAAAAGAAAAAAAATAAGTGAAACTTAATAAGAAAAAATATATAATTACATGATCGTATTTGTCCAATAGAATAGTAAATCAAATGTGGAGTGAGAAAAGTGTTGTTCATTGGTTAAATGTATAAATGATAATGATTAATAATAGGTATTAGATTCAAATCCCCTTTCTTCCTCCCTAATTCTAAAATCGCACCTTCCTTGCTAAAAAAGACTTTAAATAAAAAAAAATAAAAAAAGAATTGCTGTCGACTCCGAATTGTGGGGGACAAATCTATAATTAAGCCTATGGAAATCTTCCTCCCATCCGCTCAGATTCTAAAATTTTCTCTGTTTCTCCTCATCCTCCATTTTCATCCAGGAAAAAGCTCTGTTAAACTCCAAGTACATCTAAAACATGAAAGAGAAAATTGCTATGAGATGTAAGTTTCAAAGTAAAAATTTTATTACTACATTCTTGCTCCGATACTCAAATGAGAAATTACAACAGGGAGCAAGAATTGATTCGCTGCCTTCCCAGAAAATGAGATCGGTGCAAGAAGATGTTGGATTAGCCGAGGCATTAATCCTTGTCCCCGTTCTGCACTCTGTAACTAGTGTACTTGCACTAAAACTTACATCTTCGGTCGGGAGGAACTGACCAACCTTACAACCTTACACCAGGGTATGAACTGACCAACCTCCCAGCCCTAATCTAATATGTGGAAGCCCTAATCTAATATGTGGAACATAGTAGGTTAAATCGTTGCAGGAATCAATTTGACACCCAAGATAAAACGCACAGATGGCTTGCGTGCCATGCTATGTTTCTTGTGATATTCTTCACAGCACATTGCCTTTGACATAAGCTGTCTTTTGAATTTCCCCTTGAATTTGACCATCTGCAGCAACATAAATCAAGGTAAATGAGATCAATCTGCAATGCTAGATGCAGATGCAAGCCAAAGCAGGAAGGACAAACCAGCGAGCTTAACAGCCAACTTTGCCTGTTTATCAGCCTCAGAGTTCAAGTCCTTCAAAATTATAAACCAGATATCAGGCCAAGGTATATTACGGTTTTTTTTTTTTTTTTTTTTGCCTCTCTAGCGGACAGATAAAGAGAATCGTTGTTAAATGCCAAACCTATAGCTCGAAGTTAAGCTAAGCTTATCTACCAATCTTAGCATGGCAAACGAGAGAGATGGAATAGGGAGACCGGACTTAATGAACTTACCTTTTGCACATGAATGATCCGGAATGACGTGAACTTATGCTTCAAACTTTTTGCCTTCTCACACAAGATGGAGATCTTTTTGTCTTTCACCTTCCATAAGCCTTGAATCTATTTCGTCGAAATATGAACTTTTGGAGCAGATAAATCGAGAACGAATCCGTGTACTATTATTCTAGGAACAAGATACTACCATGCAGCAAAAGTCATATTCCTAAATGCCCCATAAAGGAAATAAACCAAAATAACCAGCCCCATTACACACAAGTATAATGTTTCAAGCTCTTATACCTACTATAATAGAATACTTTTCTAACTTTTTATCAGTAAATTACCAGTCTACCACATGAAACATTTAAAAGAACAGCTCTATTTACAGCAATTTTTACAGGGAGAAACATAGCCTGGTATATACATGAAAAAATGGTCAAAAAAAAAGGGGGTCACATTGATAGATTATTGAATACGATGCCAGGAGCCCTATTCTGGCAAATGACCCGAGGTGCGTACTAGCTCTATGTCCAGACAAACTTATTCCTGAAAATAATTAAGAGATTCTATAGATTAAATTACGAAAAAGAGGAAGAAAAGAAAATGTGGAAAAAGGTGTGCTAAATGATTGGAAGGTAAACAAACTTATCCAGGGGATTACTTGCCTAACTGAATAAAAATGAATTTGATAAGATGCAAATAATATGGCATAGACCCATTATAGTCTAATGTGTTTTCAGAACAATGCTTTAGCCTTATGCAAGTGAGTGGAGCAAACTAAATCCTTCCTTAGCTCATGACTGAAGATGGACACATAGAACATTGGTGTAAATATATGCTACTCACCCTCTAGACATTACCAATTTAAGGTTCTTTGCTTTGAACCATTGGTGGAATGGAACTTCAAACCAGATTTTTGAACCACGATGCAGCAAAAAATGGACCACATGGAAAATGGAAGAAAGGAAACAAAGTCATATGAAATTGAGAAATTTAACAAGAAGAGAGCCAAGCAGGTCAGCACCAAATGAATAATTGCAGAGTGAATGGGGAAAAAGCGGATCCAAAGCATATGCCCATGGGTGTGACAAACCTGCATGCAAACAAGGTCAGAGTCACCCTGAACATGGATGCTTCTAAACCCTTTATCCAGTGCATATTGCAGCCCTAAAATTATAGCTTGATATTGAGAAGCATAAGCGGTTTCTATGCCCAGACCTTCACGCAACCTACAAATCTTTAGAGGAAAAGGTAAGGCGCGTGCATGAATCAAGAAGCCAAATGCTTGAAATAGAGCAAGATGTTTACCCAACTTCCATCAGCAGCTCGAAGCACAACTCCCGCACCAGATTGCCCAGGATTTCCTTTTGAAGAACCATCAAATTCTAGAGTGCAAGAATGCTGACAAGAAGTAAACGATCAACTAATAACCTCCAATTCAAAACAGTCTAGCTACCAGAAGAACAACTTGGAAAGTATAATAAGTCAGTTTTCTAAAATGAGAGCACCTACATACAAGAATATTAAACAAGTTCTATGCAGTGTAAATAAAAGTAGTAATAAGAATATAGAGATCTGTAATATTTGCTGGAATAATAAGTTGAGTGAGTTTAGCTTATTCATGTGTCCAACAGCATCAGGAAATGGGACTCAGGAGATAGGACAATCTTAAAGATTAAGTATAGCCAGTCAACAGCTTAATGATAATATGCTATTGAAACTTACCCCAGATAAAGAAGATAACACTTCCTGTGGCCACTTCTTTGGCCCAAGCTTGATGGATATTTCGTCTCTACAAGAAGAAGGGAGCTGCAAGAAAATGAGATATTAGGTAGATGCTGATGAAATGGCGAAAAGTAACAAGGACATTTCAATGTTATCTAAGCACCAAAATCCACAGCAATTCAAACAATGAGCTATAATGCACATTTAATTTCACCTTAGACAGATAAGTAAGCCCACCTTTACAAATTCATGGACGGTTGGTTCAACAAGCAAAATTTTTAGTAACATTACCTAGCAGTTGCAAAAGGTTCATCAAAGTTTTTATTCATGATACATCAGCTAAAAAAGAAAAGAACATACAAACACTTTCAGAAGAAAAGAACAGACAAACACTCCCCGAAAGTCAAGCTCCTGACATATTACTGATGATCTTTGATGATTTCTACATTAATAGGTTCACCAAACAGAAGAACCATGTACATACTTAGACAGCATAAGGTACCAAACTAAGGAAAGAAAACGTGTTTTGCTTCTTTTTCTTCTAATTAGTGTTTCCAAAACATTACATTTAAAAGCTGTTAGTCTTGCTGATTTTGAAACATGTTATTGAATCAAGAATTGATATGATAAATTTTGTTTTCTTAACAACTCAACACTTTGTCCTGACCAATGAGGTTCATACATCACAACACATTTCACTTCCTGATCAGACTATCAAACTGGAGGCAGTTCTGCAAAGAATATCTAGCTGAGCAAGCCACAGCTCAAGTTCATATCACACTCATCATGATAGTTGCATTTTGATAATTCTTAATGGCAAGGGTTGATACTGTACAAGCAAAACTTTCTCTGATGCAAATATTACAAGCATCACTTTATGCAATCTGATAACTCAATAAACTGTTGGTTTATGTGAATCACCTTGAATGAAAATCATAAGATTTAAGTAATTGGAACATCAAAGACAACGAAACAAAAAAAGAAAGCACATCCCAAACTTTACAGAACCATGAAATCACAGGTCACCTGATATGAATGGCAAGGCAAAAGAGTACCAAAAAGCCGTTCAGTTAGATCATCAGCCTTAAAAGAATAAAGAGCACCTTTAAGGCCACAAGAAAGAAGATATTTCTCTACACCCTTCGGCATAGCATGACCTTTATACACACTGACAGGAGGATCACGTACCTATGAGAAAATGAAAGAGGAGAATCATTTAATCCATCCATCAAAATTAACTACAAGTTCCATGCCAACATGGAAAAATCACCAAAGTTTCAATGATTGTTCTTGAGCAGAGACATAGCTGGAATAGTGTATAGAAGATACTACTGCAGATCTAGACATCTAAGACAACCCAAGTGACATTCAAAATGTGTACTACGCACATAATCCACTTTGACCAAAAGCCTATTACATGCCACATATGAAGTCAAACAATTATACCAGGCAGAAGTAAAGATGAAATCAGATAACACTTCAGGAAACAAATCTCACTCCTTTTCTCTGCCTTTTATAACACTGACAGTCTCACATTACGTAGACCTCAACTGGTGTGTGAAGCTCAAGTGTTCCTGGAGATGGAACACATATATCATTTAGTTTAGATTTGAATTCGAAAAATATTATGCACCACACTACATCATACTATCCCATGTATCAGAAAGATGACTGGCTGAAGGTGAAAATTTTCACAGTAAAATTTCAGTTCAATATAACAATTTTGCGGTTCTCTCATCCATTCGCCTGGAGCTCTACAGCAAAAAGAAACGGGTAATATATACAGAGATAAATTTGGATGCCAATACAAAATCAATGGCCTATTTCGCCGGTAATTTAAAGTGGCCTATTTTGTGAAAAAAGGTTCATATATCAATCAGTAGAGTTACAGAAAACATAGGGAATCGGATTAGTTACCGACGATCCAACTTGAGCCTGACAATCACTTAAACTCTTGTAAACACCAATAATATCCCCTTTTCTAACCACAAAGAATGCATCCTTCTCGTCCTTCAGCATCGCTTGAGTCCCAGTGTCCTTATGTCCAATAGGCCACTCAGATGAATAGCACTGACAGCTAATTCGCGTCGAGCAAAGTCCCAAATTAGCAGCTCTACTACTATCTACATCCTGAAAACTTCTACTCCATGACAGAGAATAAGCTCCATGCATTGCACTCCTCACAACACCACTGGTCCTGGGTAACAAAGCCCAAAAGCAAGCCGAAACCATCTCTCTTAATCATCATAAGAAGCAATTTGTGAGTGTTTTTAGTGTGTGCCCGCGAGTGTGTGCAGTGTGCTGCTGTGCCGGGTTTCAACTTTCAATTTCACAGAGACTGAAATCAATTTAAATTATGAAAAGAAGCCTCATTACCATAATTTAAATTACACGTCTGCTGACCAATTGACTAGGGACAATAATAAATGTAAAATTCATCATTTATTTACGTTCATCATGTCATGTGCTCCTAAATTAGGAACCGCGGGAACCAGAGTTTCCTAACCATATCCCAATTCGTTTCATTCGAACCATTTCTATCGATGCTAAAGGCCCATACTAAGACCACTGAGGTTTGGCCTTTTATTTCTGACCTTCCATGGGCCATGACTTCCTGGACTAAAATTGGGTCTGGGAAGCTGGGGATGGTAGGATGGTTTTATAGCGCAACGGATCTTCTGTCCTATATTTTGTGTCATTCTCTGTCCCACTTTATATTATATTGTTATTTTTCCTTCATAAATATCATGTTTTAGTTCTTTTTTGTTTCCTTATGATTCAATAACTATTAATTCAGTAAAAAATAAATACAACAACTTCAAAAAAGCAATATATAATAGAAAATTAAAAAATACAGCAGAAAATGCATCAAAGATCTCATTTTTTATGCATTTTGATTTTTTGAGTTTGTTAAATTTTGTGTATTACTGAATTAGTAGTTATTGGATCTTAAGGAAATAAAAAAGAACTAAAACATGATATTTATGAAGGAGAAATAACAATATAATAAAAAGTGTGACAGAGAATGGCACAGAGTGTAGGACAGAAGATCCGTTGCGGTTTTATAGTCTCTTTACATCACTCGTATCTTTATACAGATGAATGGACCTAATTAATCAGCATTGAAGTGACTGTTACCACAATAACTGTAGCATGTTTGAAAGTTCAGCCTTTTTGCCTACTTCCATTACTCTTTCTGGCGGTTTTGTAGGCTCCATCGTTAATACTTTAATCTGAAATGTGTTTAAGGTATGGATTTGGTGCTTAACTTTTTGTCATTGAAATTATGTTTTTTAATTGGTAAAAAGTTGATAATAGCTTTTTGTATAGAGTAATAGGTATTGTGAATTGTTGTAAATCCGTTTTGGCGTATTTAAGATGATTTTTTTATTCTTACTGTATATAGTCATTATTTCACAACTTTCTGGTAGAGATTAATTTAGTGTAGATTTGCTGATTATATTAGTTATTCAATGAAGCTGGCTATTGCTTATTAATTAATTTGTCTTATGCACAACAAATTCAGGGTTATAATCCTTTGCTTGTGTATCAGTAGGCTTTCTTGATATATAGATATAATAAGCTCAAATCTATTAATGAGGCTAAAATTGCAACTCAATCTGATCATCTTTTAACTCATCTCAAAGTTCACTTGAACTTGTCTGACTCCTTCCACCAGAAATGATAGAAAGCTTCGAACAATATTGCATTTTCCATTTTTGCCATTCATTCTAGCGTCCGCTAATATTAATCTAAACTTCCGAAATACTAACTTGAACGAAAAAATAGAGAGAGGCTTGAAAATTCTTGACTTGCACAAAACAGAGACCAGGATTAATTTAGAAATGCTTTTATGAAGAAATCGATCCATGCTTGCAAATAGAGCGCTTGTTTGAGAACGTGGTCTGGCCAAGATTCCTGGACCAAAATTGCAAAACAAAACAAAGTTTTGTTACTCCGCAAAATCTGAGCGCAAGGATCTTGATTAGGTTGTGAGTAGCTGTCACGTTAGTTAAGAAATTGATCAAACAAAGCCATTTCAATGAATTTAAACCTCCATATGACGGTGAACAACTTAACCTGTTTCTATGTTTCTTGCATGGTGTAGTCGGCTGAATCATAAGCCAGGACTCTTGGGAGTTTTAGGGAAATTGAACAACTTATTAGCGGTTGTTTTGTTTTACTTCATTTAGGTCCGTCGTAATGACAGCATTAATTTGGAGAGCAAGGACAATTCTATCGATCAAGAATTTGTTTGTCCAAAACACTTTTTTGATTGGTTTTTCCAAAGGAGTGTCTCACTTCTCACTCGGTTCTCATCCCTGACAAGAAACAAATTGTATGACTCAGAAAGCATGTTTGAAGCTTAAAAAAATGGCATTGCATATATTGAGTAAATCTTATATACACTGACAGTGCATATACTATCACCGTTAGATTTATGACGTGTGTGTAAAAATTGAATTTCAAATTCAAATTTTGCATAGTTGTCATTCATCAAACGCTGTCATCGTAGGAATTATTAATTCTACAAATATCTATTATGTACACATCACCTAGCTAACCTATGATTCTAGAAAGTTAGGCCGAGTATTGGATTTTGTACCGCCTTCCTAGTCCTACTCGTTAAATGGAAAGGACGACCACGTACCATCGTATTAGCCACCACAAATGTATTCAAGAATGATGCTGATATATACCCTGAGTTTTTATTGGTGTTGCAAGGACCATTTTTAAGTATAATAATAATAAGTATGTGAGCAAATTACTCTGATAATTCGTCGCTCAATTATTAAGAGTATGTTTTTATCCACTGCACTATCAAAAGTGTAAAATTTGGACAATTTCATCTGATTTCATCATTAACTGTTTTTTAATCTCTCCAAAGTGAAGAGTTGGGATTTAGAAGAATGCACGTCAAAAGCTTACGATGATTGGTACCAGACCATCTGACCAATATAATCCGGTCCGATTCGACCAACTTAACAAGAGTAAAAAAGAATTTGGGCATTGACCCCTCTAAAAGAAAGTAGAAAACTATTTTAAAAAGTTGGTTTAAGATTTATTTGTTCAGTTTCTACTGATTTTATCGTTGGGGTAATCTTTAAGCATCAACCTAAAACAGATTGAACTGTCTAGTTTTGCCTTCGTATATATGCGCAAATCTTGTCTTACTTTCGCCTGCTTATGGATTAATTAGTTCGAGAAGGTGAATTAGTCGTAAGGTTGAAGCCGGCTAGCTCGAAAAATAACAGGAAAAGGAAAAGAACAAATTACATTATTCTGCAATATTTTGTTAGAAGAAAAGACATGGTATTGATTTCGAAGCTTTCATACGCTAGTTTTGGAAAACAAGGCAAATGCAACATGCCATATAGCTTCATCACTGCTGCGCTGTGCTTTTGTGACCCCCATAAGACCAAGTTTCCATCCTAACGAGTCCAAATTCAAGCATGCGCGATGCGTCACTATATCACAAACTTTGTTTCTCTCCCAGCTTGAATCAACACACCATGCAGATTTTACGTCAAACACAAAGAAAACCTTCTATATAAATAGACGTGTGGAGAGTAATGCTTATCAAAGAGTTGAAAAGCTCTAAGAAACTTTACTTATCAAACATGGAGTCACAGAATAAGAAGAAGAGCTTAGCTCTTCTTGGCTGGTTTGCTGTGGTAAAGGCTTTTTCTCGCCCATTTCTTCTTCTTCAAAGTCATCGTCACCCCACAGCGGAAAACAAACAGGATGAGGAAAAACATGAATGATTTGTCTGCACCAACATCATCAGAAACCACCCAGAGGAAACATGGTGGATGGAAGGCCATCCCATTTATCTTAGGTATCTATTATTGTCTTTCCATTTCAAGCGCAGGCGGAGCACAGAATTTTCACTCGGAGGGAGGAAGCGAACCGAGTGGATTGCTATACAAAACCATGAAACAAAGAAAATGTAGCAAATATAAATTTCAAATTTAAAATACTATAACTAGCATTCTAATGCTTCAATAAAATATGAAATATCAAAAAATAAAATATTAAATCAAACTCTCTATCATTTTAATTTTTTCAACAATCCAAGTATTATGCGACGAAAAACAGTTACATGCATTTGTATTATTGCTCACCATGTAGATAATTATAAATGATCTTATGTTATGCAAAAGAACTTTGGTAATTTAGTCGATATTTTACATAAATTAGATATTGGTTGTGGGATAAAAAATCAATTTATTAGACTGTTAATTTCTTTTAAGAACACAAAATATATGAGATTTTAACAATAATTGCTTGTTGTAACACGGAGAAATTTAGCATGAAATGATCTAGGTTATGTGGATTGTAGGGAATGGCAATAATGACACTAATCCCGTGGATTCCTCAACTGCACCCGCCGCCATGCCCAACTGAAGATTCATGCAAAAGACCTACGGTATCCCAGATGGGATTCTTGACCATGGCACTTGGATTTTTGTCCATAGGCTCAGCTGGAATACGGCCCTGCAGCATCCCATTTGGTGTACGTGGACCAGTTTGATTCAACGACTGAGGAAGGAAGAAAGGGAATCAACAGTTTTTTCAATTGGTATTACACCACTTTTACCATGGTTGTAATCATTTCTCTAACCTTGGTGGTTTACGTCCAAAGCAACGTCAGTTGGGATTTGGGCTTTGCGATTCCCGCGATCCTCATGGTAGTCCGGATTATTGATACGTCCACAAGAAGCTGGAGGGAAGTGTATTTTCCGGCATTGGTCGCCGCCTACAGAAAGCGTAAGCTTAAGCTTCCTGAGAATATTCATGGACCATCTGATAGAATCTATTACGACCCACCATTGAAGCTAACTATTGTGACGAAATTACCACTAACAAATCAATTCAGGTGTGCACGTTATTCCTTTCTTCAAAGTAATATAATTCTTTTCCTTTTTATGATCAATTCAGGTGGGTTTGTGTTATTTTTTGTCCACGTAAATTTCTTTAGAGAAATCAGATTATAATTTTAAAACACTAATAGTTTATTCGCTCTCCTGTTTACCTTAGAGTACCAAGTACAAAAAACCCCCCCCACTGTAATATCTCCATTTGATTAGTAGTTGTTAAGGAGGGCTTTGCTGAAAGATTAACTAACACCTGTATATTTAGGAACTTAATTAACATTACGAAGAGATGGAATACCCTTGTAAAAGACTATCAAGTGTTGGCATATAATAGGTTATTCACTTATTTGCATGTGGTTTGGTGCGCGCCTTCAAAGGTTGCAGCTAGTAAACTAGCTGGCGACAAATCATTTTCCGTCACTATCACCATTTTTTATTTTTCTCTTTTTGGTTGCACTGCTTTTTATCGTTGAAAAAGTCT